ACGGTATCAGCCATATGTTGATCGAAGAAACAACGGTCCAAGCCGCAATGCTCCTCGGACCGATCGAAGAAACGATCAAGGTCAATGTTCTCGAGGACTCATAAGTAAGAGTGGGTTCGATAAACATGCCGACCCCACAAAAGCTCTTCGATTATCGGAGTACAACTTCAACATAGATGCTACAGGGATTGTCTCGGCTATTAGAAAAATCAAAGATACCAAGTGGCCCAGGCCTATACAGACTGATCCTTCTCAAAGAAATCTAAACTTGATGTGCAAGTACCATGGCACACATGGTCATAGAACAGAAGATTGCAGGCAGCTAAGGGAAGAAGTGGCTCGATTGTTCAACGAGGGCCACCTTCGAGAATTTCTGAGTGATCGAGCTAAGAATCACTTCAGGGAAAGGGATGCAAGGAAAACTGAGCAAGAAGAACCGTAACATGTAATCCACATAATCATTGGTGGAGTTGATATTCCTCAACAACATGTGTTCAAGCATACCAAAGTAACAATCACCAGAGAAAAACGGACTCGGAGCTACATGCCTGAGGACGTCTTATCGTTCTGTGAAGAACAAACCTAAAACTACTTTAGGGTCATATCTTCGGCATCTATAGGAGCCGCATATTCGAGAGCCTCACCCTCGGGGAATTAACCATCGTATCTTCCATTCTCAGAGTCACTGGCTGAATCATCCTTATTAGAAAGCAAAGCGACAACCTCTTCTTCCAAAATCTTCGCCCTTTCAATATTGGCTGAGAGATCGAAGTCGCAAGCATGTACCTCCTCGAGGGTTACCCTCCGGGATTGTCGCCTAGTATGGTCAAGTGCACTTGATAGCTTGACTTCTGCTACAGCAGAGATTTCCTTTGCCCAAGCATTAGCCGCTTCCGCATTGGCTCGGTACAAAAATGCAATGGCCTTAGTGTCAGACTTGGCCTTGGCCAGTTTAGCAGTGGATCTAGCTTTAAGCCCCTCGATTTCGCGACCTCAAGCTAGGCTCTCCTCCTTCACACTTTGAAGCTAGAGTTCGAGCGAAGCCAGCTGCTCTCGAAGAGTTTCCTTCTCAGAGGCAAGATTGTCCATGCCTTGCCTTCACCCCAAGGTTTTGTCCTCCTTCATCTTAAGCTCCTTCCGAAGTTGCAACACCAATTCGCCCTTCTGATGGAACTGCGAAATTAAGAGTATTAGTCGTCAAAACAAACAAGTACATACCAGACCCTCAAAGGACTATATTACCTCATCAATAAACTTGGCCCATTCTTGGAAAGCGTTCATCAATTCCACTCGTAGATCGCTGATCTCCCCCTCTTTCTTGACATAGAGGATTTTAAGGTTGTCCCTCTCTTCAGAGACTTTCTTAATCTTAGCTTCACATCGGCAAGCTCGGTCTGAGATTTGGTGAATGCTCGTCGGTGAAGCGACACGGCCTTTTCACAAGGAAATGAGGTCAGAATCAGAAAAATGAGATTAAACTCGAAATAATGAAAGACAAAACTTACTTGTTTGAGGAGCTTCTCAGCTTCCTCAAGCATAAACGATGAATAAGGACTGGGAGCCTCTTCGATTCCCGTGAGACACTTCTAAAAAATATTGTTCTCTTCATGAGGAGTCTCCATATCCTGGGCATCTCGGACTTGCCCTTCAGAAAACACTGGGCCCTGCGGCAAGTCATCTATGTCGATTACCCCAAGTGACTCACTTGTGGTGTTATCCTATCATTGAAAAGCCTTAGATTTAGGCTCTTCGAGCTCGCTCACCAAACGTCCCCTGGGACGAGGAGCACCTTTTCTGCCTGATGGCTCGGGGGCTTTGCTCGAGCTCCCCTCTAAAATTTCTTCAGTGCGAAATTAAACTGCCTCTGTCGCTGTCAGTTCATCATTCTTCAAAGCGTCGGGGCTTCTCTTTCCCGAGATACTAGGAGGCAGCCATCGTCCTCTTCCTCCTGATCCCGAAGGTATTGAGCCGTTTTCGGAGATAGGGCCATAGTGTCAGCCTTGGTCTTTTGAGCTATACTCTTCTTTCGCTTCAGGGTCTTTGCAGATGGCCCCCTCTTTCTCTTCTTTTCTTTGCGAGGCTTTGAGATCTCTTCTTCACTAGGTGGGGGTGGCCGCATTTTTACACCTTCCCCGAGACCTGCAAAAAAGATGAAGTAAGTATTGAATTAAGAAACATAAGTAAGCAAACAAGAAAGCTCACCGTGGTTTTTTGCCTCCCATCGGCCCTTGGCTTAATCGTGCCAGCAACGCTCCACATATGAAGAAATAGAGGCCAGTCGGCAGACCCAACCTTCAAGGTCCTGGACTACTCCAGAAAAGCAAGCGACATCTGCACTATCGGAAAAGGATTATATCGATCAAAATACAAAACCAGGAAAGGAAAAAGGGAAGCAAGGTATGAAGTTATTTACATTTTATATTCCATTCCTTCAGGAATGGCATCCTCTCCAAAGGAATCGGGTCCGAGGTCCTGACTCGAACAAAACAGCTCATCCACCCTTGGTCTTTGTCCTCGTCGATGTTGGAGAAAAAGGATTTCAAGGATCGGCGTTGCAGTTTTATAAAACCAACTCGGTACAGTCGAGGTCTGTACAGACTGATTAGGTGGTCAAGAGTAAAAGGCATCCCCTCGACCTGGATCGAGAAAAATCTGATCAGATCAACAATCCGCCAGAATGAAGGGTAGATCTGGCCAAACGTCACTTGGTATCATTGGTAGAAGTCAAGATTAACTGGGTCTATGGGACCCAAAGCTGGATTTGTCGGGCCTAGCATGAATGGGTAGATGTACACATTTTGTTTTATGGGTAGTGATGTCCTCTTCCGAGGAAGGAATCACTACGTCTTTGTCACCCCAGTTGCAATCCTTCTTTACTTGCACGAGATCGTCCTTGGTTATCAAACAGACATATCCAGACATAGGCTCGCATCAGCCTGACATCGATACAGGTTTCTCGATGTTGAAATCAGACGTTATTTTGCATGGTGGGGAAATGCACTCCTCAATACGAGGGGGCACTACTAGTTTGCCCTTGGTCGATCGAGAAGATGAAGAAGCATTTTCCTTTTAGGGAACCAATTTAGAGATCTTGGCCATTATAATATGGAAATTCAAGAAAATGGAGAACGTTGAAAATGAGGAATTCAGAGAAATTGAAAGAGCTAATGAGGGTTTGGGAACTATATGAGAATAAAGTTTGCAAGAATATGAAGTTTATCTATTTATAGATGTCATTTAAGCGTGCTGAGGAAGCTGAAAAGCTGACCGTCAGCCACCTCTAATTAATGATCTAGGAAGCCGTGCGGACGCAACCTTTCAGTCACTTCAAACACTGACGTCACGAGATCGGCATCATGATCGAGTCATCGAGGAGATCGAGATTCAAATCGTTTCTTATCATCTTATTTTAAAAAATGCGGGGACTATCTGTATACGGTTAAAATCACATGACTCCAATTCACAAGCTCGAGGGCCCGTCCTAAGTCTGAGACCTGGAAAGATCAAGTTTGAGTTCGAGGAACCAGACCCGAGTACCAAGGCGAAGCACGATGCATACTCGACCTCTAAATACTATCGTTATGAATTTGTACCAGAGTGAGCTAGATTCCTGCCACGTCCCCAAAGTCATGGCGTAAATCCTGGAATAGGATTGTATGATTCCGTACTAGGCGGTTAGACAGCTGTACCAAGAATATTATTTACTGTAAATAGAAATATTCCTTATTTAACATTCCCTTATTATATAAAGGGGATCATATTATCGTCACTGAGAAAAGAATATACGCCTTGCCTTTTTGCCTACGGTTTATCAGCATTGTCCTTTAGTTCCATTATTCTTGCTTTATTTTTATTACTTAATTGTTCTTACTACCCTCAGCTATCTCGAGGTCACTAAGCTCGAGGGCACTACTGCTAAGTAACATTGGTTTGATTCACTTTTATCTTTTATTTTTACTTCATATTTCTTGATTATTAATTGGTATTGAACTAAATCATATATCTTTAAAACCAATAATCAAATTTAATTATTACTCGTATTTTCGAGGTAAACAAATTGAGAGCTCACATGAGATTAAACAAAGAAAAACGTATAATATACTCAAGAGTGATAGGTTTCACCAAAATCCTAGATATATAGTGATGTTATGCTAGTTACAAACCATGGTAAAAGAATACTTCAACCGCACAAAAGTAAACAATCAACAAATAAAAAGAAGAATTTAACAAAATACTATAAAAAAAAAAGCTCTACAATATTGATCTTGTAAAGTACAGAAATTTACTTTTTTTTTAAAAATCAGTGTTTAGCCAAAATTATATTCATGTCCAAATAGTAATCTAACTTTCCAATACTATTTTCAATTGAAAAATTCACTTTCTTCCGAAAATTTACAATTCTTATGTCCAAATACCCACTAAGTTTCTTCATTTAAAAATAGTTCAAGCCACCACTATAAAAATAAAAATAAAAGAAAGAACAAATTTGTAAAGGTGACTAACTAAATATGGAACAATAATTGAAACTTTTGTTGTTGAGAAGGTCTTTGAACACCCTTTGAGTAAAATAACAAACAAATAAAAAAATCAGTTCCACTACTTTTTTGTAATAGTCATCCTCTATAACAACACTTCATTATAATGGTTAAATTTTATTTAGAATCAGTTTCTTATGTTATGTTATAACTTATGTTTTCTATATCAACACTTCACTTTATCAAAAAAAAATATCAAATAAACAAAATTATTGCAGAGAAATTTGATGGTATTAACATAACTTCTTAAAAACAACAAGCATCCCACAACATTTATTTTTCCCAAAAAAGGTTATCTTAAAGTTGCCTAAACGAGCACATAGGTTATAGGTTTGGAGGTTTGGTCACCGAAATCTTTCTATCTAAAGTTTCTATAAATAGGAGAAAGAATGCAGGAATTTTAATCAACCACAATTATCGACATCAATATCAATAAATATTTTAGAGTTCATTTATTCATCAAAAATGATTTTCAAGTCAAATCTTTTGCTTATCAAATTTTCTTTGCTTGCGTTTCTGATGATTTTCTCAGAGGTTGCTGCTAGGGATATGCCTGCTCTGCCTTCACACCCATTACTCAAATGTAAATTTTCTATCTTGGTGATTTTTTTTTTTTTTGGTAAGAGGGAAACCTGTAGCCGCTACAATTTTTGCCATCGCCTCTAGCCTTCGGATGATTACTTTGTGCGCACTAAATAACATTTTGGTAATTTTTTTAGGGTGAAAAGGGTAAAAAGTAGTAGTCGTTCACGTACGGTATGAAATATCTTTATCATGTGTTACACTATGAGGTCATTCATACTCTTGTTATAAGCAAATCATCGAGCTCCAAATGATAATTTTGAATCACAGTAAAAAAAAATAAAGCGGTATGGTTCAATTTGTTCCTAAAGAAAATTGACATGTGAAATCCACATGGTCAATGCTAGAGGCTCCCTGAGGTCAAGAGAAAATATGAGATAATTTGCTAACGATAAAGGTATGAATGAACTCAAAGTATAACACATGTTAAAGTTAAGACATCCTATAATACGTAAATTTGGATTTTTTTCCCACTAAAAAATGAAACAAAAGAAAAAGGGCCTTCTATTTCCATGCATCTTTCATTAGGATCTTTATATAAATAGTCATGCGAATTTAGTAAAAAAGTAAATTTGAACCGCTTCCCCAGTATAAATGAAACAACGAAAAATTTGTAGATAATCCTAAAATAGGAAAGACTCCGTCGAATTGTCAGTAAAAATATCGATTACGCTTACTTGGAGGCACTTGCCCCTAAGCACTGGTCATAATCCTGAACTGAGTTGTGTCGTGACATAAAGAGAAGAAGAAAAAAAAGCTCTCTGTTTGCTATTTCTATTTATGGAACATGCATTTTTCATTTTAATTTCCATTATATTATCTAAGAGAATATTATTAATACTTGAATTTGGGTGCAGCAAATGAAGCTCAGAGCACAACAGAAATGTTGAATGACCCAATTAAGCCCCAATGGTGGAATTTCGCCGGAACGATAGCTACTTTTTGCATAGAGTGCCGATGTTGTATTCCTGAATAACTGAAGGATCATATTCCTCCTATTATTATGCTAAATATATACTAATGTAAGCTACGAGTTTAAATAAAGGAAACATCCACATGGTTTTTACACATTATTAATTTAAATCTAAATAACGTAAAATAATTGTAATCCCGAATCTATAAGGTTAAAATTCTAATTTCTCTTTCTTCGACGTCACCCCCAATACCATCAACGCCATTGAATCAACCTCCATTATAATGGAGCTTTTTTGGTTAACTTTTTATGTGGGTGTTTTGGTTAATGTTTTTGTTGATTTTCTGTTGGGATGCATGTCTGCTTCAACAATAATCATTGATTTAATTGTTGGATTACATATCGAAGCAGAAACAATTATGCAAATCATATTTACGTGTGAATTAAACAATTAGCACATATGGAGATTATTCGAGTTATCTCTTGAAACGTGAACAAAGTAGATTAATCTCGGTCTCCAGTTCCAGACTTGCAAGACTGCAATCTCAGCAAAAACTTCCACAGTATTCTACCGTGTTACCCAAACAATATCCGGAAAGAAAGAATTTCGAGTGGGCAAAATTCCAAGGAGGAAAACATGTAAAACCAGTGCAAAAAATGGCCAGCCCTATATTGAGTAGATATATAGCTACGTTTTTTAGGTTAAAACACTTTTTCCAAAACCTGTTAGGTTTTTTTATTCCATTAAGGAAAGGTTTACTTTATTTCCTATTATCTAAGCACGGTAGGGATCACAAAATTTAATTAACGAGGCTTCCTATTATAGATTTAATTTCGAAATTTTGAATTAATTTCTAGCATAAGAAATTACGAATTATTCCACTAAAAATTCGTAATTGCACTCCTTAGTTCAATTTCAAAATTCTTCCATAAAACCTTATTTAACTCCCCATGCTAAGATTCAAATGCTAATCAATCAAATTTAATTACTGACAATTTAATGTATTGATGACTTCTTTTAGACTTTCGCTTGACTTATTTCATGTGTCGGATACAAAATCCACCGGCCGGGTTTACACTTGAAAACTTATAAGCTTTCATAAAGGACTTCTTCCCGTCCTCATTTTTGTTTGATATTTGGTGAAAAATTAAGCTTTATTGTATCGGTGGGTTGACACTGGATAGTTTGATGAGTATATATTTGTTTCTCCTTCTAATTATTTTTTGCTATATTACAGTGTTTAGAGCCATATTTCACTTGGTAGATATATACTTAGTCATGCTCTTTGCCTTGCACTTTGCTTGTTTGCAGGTAAAATTGTCTAGCTAATTGTACTCTTAAAATCTTAATGATTAGTCTGCTATTACATTATTGGAGGCATTACTTACAGGTCATTGTACCTATTTCACTTAGGATATATTTCTACTTTTCTGCACTTTTTTATTTTTGTCTTGATTTTGATTTGCTTCTCGTTGTTGCGACAATATTTTTTGGGGTCCAGCCCCATATGTAGTAGCCAATTTTGTTGACTTGGTTTGGTTTGGTAACCAACCTTGTTGAATTATTTGGTAGCCAAATTTATTGACTTGGTTTGGTTAGGTAGCCAACCTTGTTGAATTTCTTTGGTTAGGTAGCCAACTTTGTTGAATTGTGAAAAGTATGTGTAAATTGTCAAATATTGTAGGCTTTAGAGAGTGAAGCTTTGGCTATAGAAGGAGAGCTTCAACTCTCATTTCTACACACCAACAAAAGAGAGAAAAGAGAGAGCAAAGTATTCCATGAACTATAAGAAGATAGTTTGTGAAGTAAAATAGTGTGAGAGAGATATTGTAGTGAGGTGAAAAAGCAAAAGAGTGTTTACTTCTTTTGAGGGTGTAGTGGTCTTAGAAGTATTTTTACTCGTTACTACACAGTGTAAAATTCCTCGCTATAGTGATATCAGTTGCTCCTCTTGGCCGTGGTTTTTTCCCTTATTCAGAAGGGTTTCCACGTAAAATCTTGGTGTCATTTTTTGCTGCATTTTTATTCTTGTTGATTTAACCATAACTTAGTGTTCCGCGTTTATCACTAATGTCGTGAATACTATTTTTACGGTATTTATTACCAACATGTGGTATCAGAGCCAAGGTTCTGTCTATGTATGCTCTGTGGTTGCAGCCCAGTCTGATCTTCCACATCAGAAAAGAATTACTTTGGTCTCATAACAAATAGTATTTGTATTTGTCATAAACGATGGAAGCCAACACTAGTATAATGGTTACTTTGAATGGCACAAATTATGCCATTTGTAAAGGCAAAATGGAAGATTTGCTCTATGTCAAGAATTATTATCTACCTGTCTTCTCCACTATAAAGCCTGATAATAAATCAGATGAAGAGTGGAGTTTGTTACACAGGCAGGTTTGCGGCTTTATTAGACAGTGGGTTGACGATAATGTTTTGAACCACATTTCTGGGGAGACACATGCTCGGACCCTATGGGAGCACCTTGAAAGTTTGTATGCTCTAAAAACTGGAAACAACAAGATGTTTCTGATAAAGCAGATATTGAGTTTAAAATAACATGATGGTTCCGCGATGACAGATCATCTGAATAATTTTTAGGGGATCATGAACCAGTTATCTGCTATGGGTATTAAATTTGATGAAGAAATTCAAGGCTTGTTTCTTTGGTTCCCTACCAGATTCCTGAGAAATTCTTAGAACTTCATTATCAAATTCTGCTCCGGATGGCGTGATCTCTATGGATCTTGCCAAGAGCAGCCTTTTAAATGAAGAGGTGAGAAGAAAATCTCAAGGTTTCTCCTCATCAGATGTCTTGGTGACTGACTCTACGGGGAGAAGCAAGAATCGGGGTTCTCAAAATAGAGAACATAATAGGAGCAAATTCAGAAGCAAACTTAAAGATATTGAGTGCTATCATTGCGGGAAGAAAGGGTACACAAAGAAGTTCTGCCGGATTTTGAAAAAGGAGAATAGAGACAAGAGAGAACAAAAGGAAGATGGCAATCGTGTGGCCACCATCACTACAGAAGATCTTGTTACTGTCCTTGATACGGATCTGATAAATATTACTTGTGATGAGTCAAGCTGGATTGTGAACAGCGGTGCCGCATCTCATGTGACATCAAGGAAGGAATTTTTCTCATCCTATACTCAGGTGACTACGGAACTTTGAGTATAGGTAATGAGACTGTATCTAGGGTGGCTAGTGTTGGAACGATTTGTTTGGAAACTAGTGTTGGAACTAAACTAGTTTTAAACAATGTAAAACATGCACTTGATGTTCGTTTGCACTTGATCTCTGTTGGTGTTTTGGATGATAAGGGATATGTTAGTACCAATGGTGTTGTAAAGTGGAAGCTCACTAAGGGCTCCATGATTGTGGCTCGTGGGGAAAAACGTCGTGGCCTATACTGGACTACGGCATCTACCTTTGTTGATATGGTGAATGCCATTGAGAGCCATAACTCTTCAACATTATGGCATAAGAGGCTTAGCCACATTAGCGAGAAAGGACTAAATGTTCTGGCCAAGAAGAAATTGTTGTCAAATTTTGAAAGTGCAAAATTAGAAAGATGTGAACACTTCTTGGCTGGAAAACAAAAAAAGAGTTACTTTCCAATCTCATCCTCCTTCAAGAAAGACAGAGTTTCTTGAGTTGGTGCATTCAGACTTATGTGGTCCAGTGAAGACAAGGACTTTGGGTGGTGCACTTCATTTTGCTACCTTTATTGATGATTGTTCAAGGAAACTTTGGGTCTACATCTTGAAGACTAAATACCAAGTGTTGGGTGTCTTTAAGCAGTTTCAGGCATCAGTTGAAAGAGAAACTGGAAAGAAACTAAAGTGTATTCGTAGTGATAACGGTGGTGAATATTGTGGACCGTTTGACGAATATTGCAAGCAGCAGGGTATCAGACACCAGAAGACTCCTCAGCTAAACGGTTTAGCAGAAAGGATGAATAGGACCTTGATGGAAAGAGTGAGATGTTTTCTTTCTAAAGCAAAGTTGCCGAATTCCATTTGGGGTAAGGCTTTGTTGACCGTCGCACATGTTATTAGTCTATCTCCTACAGTTGCTTTGCAAAGTGATGTTCCAAATAGAGCTTGGTGTGGAAAGGATGTTTCCTATGACCACTTGAAAGTATTTGGTTGCAAAGCTTTTGTACATGTGCCTAAAGATGAGATGTCAAAATTAACTGCTAAGACAAGGCAGTGCATCTTCATTGGTTATGGCCTTGATGAGTTTGGTTACAGGCTATATGATCCAGTTGAGAAGAAGGTCGTGAGAAGTCATGATGTTATATTCGTAGAGGATCAAAACATTGAAGATATTAATAAAGCGGAGAAGCTAAAATCTTCAAGTTCTGAAGGTTTAGTTAATCTTGATCAAGTTCCTCATACAAATGCAGATGACATTGGTGGGTGCAATGATGGTGATGCCCAGAACCATATTCCAGATCAGCATATTGATGGTGATTGTGATAAGAATGCTAATGTAGATAAGGTAGATGCTCCTACTCACGAAGCTGTGGAAGAGTTAGATATTCCACTCAGGAGGTCTTCTAGACCTCATACTCCCCCTTCCCGTTATTCACCCGATGAGTATGTATTACTCACAGATGGGGGAGAACCTGAATGTTATACGGAGGCCATAAAGGATGAGCACAAAGATCAATGGATTGAAGCCATGCAAGATGAGATGAAATCTCTGTATGAAAACCATATTTATGAGTTGGTGAAATTGCCTAAGGGCATGAGAGCTTTGAAAAACAAGTGGGTGTTCAAAGTTAAAGCTGAAGAACACAGTTTGAAGCCCAGATACAAAGCTAGATTGGTTGTCAAGGAATTTAGTCAAAGGAAAGGTATTGACTTTGATGAAATATTTTCTCCAGTTGTAAAAATGTCCTCCATTCGGACAGTTCTTGGTTTGACTACTAGTCTTGATTTGGAGATTGAGCAAATGGATATGAAGACTGCTTTTCTTCACGGTGACTTAAAAGATGAGATTTATATGGAACAACCTGAGGGATTCAAGGAAAAAGGTAAAGAAAATCTT